AAATTACACTCATGGTGGTAAAACATACGAGCTAGTCTATTTCATTTCTTGAATACATCTCTCAGGAGCTTTCTGATCTGCTCCAATCTAGACTGGAGGTATCTCTTCTTGCTACATAGGTATTGTGGAACTCAATTCACTGTTATTCTGGGATAAATCCCTTTGCTTTTCACTTTAGTAGAATCTTTTCTAATCCTATGTCTTTTTCTTTCTTGTGTTATTCTCTTGGTTTACTCCATAGCTTTTAAAGGAAGTGTGCAATAAAAATTGTTTTGAGACTTTACAGATGTAAACATGAGTTTATTCTTCCCCCAATTATATGTTAGTTTGGCCGAATATAGAATTCTATGTTGTAAATCATTTTCCTTCAGAATTTTAAAAGCATTGGTCCGTTGTTTTTTAACCTTCCAGTGATGCTGTTGTGAAGTGTGAGACCATTATGTTGTTGATCCTTTGAATGAAGCCTGTTTTCCCTCTGGAAGCTTGTAGGATCTTCACTTTGTCTCTGCTGTGCCTTGCTGTGGGTTTTTGTTCTTTTTTTCTCTAGGATACTTGATATACCCACTACTGGATATAATGCCCTTTTGTTTTAGAAAATTTTCCTGAATTATTTTGTTGATGATTTCTTTGCTTTTGTTTTCTCTTTTCTGTCTTTCCAGTACTCCTAGAATCCTAATAATTAGATATTACATATCCTAGGCTGGATCTTGTAACTTTGTTTTTACTTGGACTTTCCATTTTTTTATCTTATACTTTTTTAAAAGAAAATTTCCTTAATTTTATTTTCTACCCTGCAGTTTTCCATTTCTGTAGTTATATATTTTTTTATTTCCAAGGCCTCAGTCTTGTTGTTTACTCCTATCTTAATCATCTGCTCCCCTGAAATTAGGGCATCCTATTCTTAATTCATGGATGAACTATCTTCTGTTGTTAACTTTTTGAAGATACTATGGTTTTGTTTTTTTCTTTCTTGGATAGTCTTTGTTTATTTCATCCTATTTTTCTTTTATGGTTTGGTCTCTATTTTTTTTTTCTTCTTCTTCTTTTTTTTTTTTTAATTAGATACTTTCTTCGTTTCTTTGGTCATCCTTGATAGTCTGTTCACATGTAAGAGTGAGGCACTAATAAAGTAGCAAGCACTTACATAATGCTTAGAATGTATCAGATACTGTTCTAAGTGCTTCAGATATTTTTACATATTTAATCCTTGTACTGACTTTAGGAGTTAGCTATTATTATTTTTGATAGATGAGGAGACTGAGGCATACAGTGTTTTAAGTAAAATGCCCAGTGTACACAGTAAGTGGCAGAGCTGGAATTTGAATCCATCTATCTTAACTCTATAGTCCCTTCTTTTAACCTTTATACTGTTCTGCCTGTTACTAAAATTAGAAGCTAATTGGAAATTTGGTGCTTGTGGGTGGGGTTTGTCAAAGTAGTGTTTCGTGAGTAAGCTGTTTCTTTGTGGAACATCTGATAAGGTCCTTTTCATGGGTTGATTAGATTAATCAGAGAAGAATCTGCAGCTCTTCTGATAAGGGGTTTCAGCCCAGCTGCTGTTGTTTTGGTTGCTGAGTAGTGAAAGATGACTGGAGTTACTGGTCTACATATTTAACCACCCTCTCCCCTCCCCAAGATATAACTTCACCTAGTTCACCTGTGTTGATATCTTCCTGCCTGGAGACCCTCAGCTTTACCCTGTCCAGGGAGCGAACCTCCAGTTTTCTGGTGTGGTCATAAATTGTAGGTTACCCAGTTGTGCTACAGATTCTGGGAGGGGTCTTAGCGTATACCTATGACTCCTAATTTTGAGTTTCACTTTTCCCTAACTTTCAGGACTGCCCACTGCTGAGCCTTTTGAAGATTCTCTTATGTATTCATAAATGTGATTCTCACTTTTCCAGTGACTCATTTTCCTTGTATTTGCTTTGAAATTTCTTGCAGTTTTCTCATTTCACATTCTCTTTGACCTTGTTTTTATGCAGAAGCCAACAATCAAAAGAAATCTTTGTTATCTTAGAGGCATACCTTTCCATAAAGATGAATAAAATGTGTGTTTTAATGTGCCATTTGACATTTTCTGTCAGATCTTTCTCAAATGTCTTATTCTACCTTTGGCATTTAATGATGCTTCCAACAAGATATATCATCTTCTGAAAATCTTTCTTCCTACTTTAGAAATTTTTTCTTCTCTCTTAAGACTCTTTTACATCTCGTGTTATTTGTATTTGCATGCTTTTCTTGCACTCTGCCCTCCTCCCTACACCAGACTATAAGTTCTTTGAGGACCTTAACTGATACAGAATTGCTGAATAAAAGTTTATAACATTGTGTATTCTGTATATGTTTTGTCCTTTTGTGTGTCTTTCTTGTAAAACATTTTTAGAATATCAGCAGTGTATTAAATATTGATACTAGCAAAGTAGGGAATGAATACAATAAGGCAAAAAAAGAGATTTAACTTAGATGTAAAGAAGTCTGAGAATTGTTAGAACTTGATATTGTGAAAACTTTCAGTGTAGATTCATAATCATAATGAAGTATACCCCTGTCTTTCTGCCATGACACAAAAGAATGAATTATGTAATCTGTTAATGTTTTGGCCAGGCTTATGATTCTGTAACTTAGATGTCAGATATATTTGCTGTTGCTACATTCTTATAATATTTGTAGTTTAATGGGCTATAATGTTAAATGCCAGAATATTCTAAAACACTTGATAGGAATGAACTTTAGATAAAGTAAATATTTTAAATGTATTGGAGTAGCTAAATACATAAAGCCCACATTTGTATATTTCCTTTTAAAAACTGTTGATTTTCGTATTTTATGAATTTCATTTTTACAAGTCAATGCTGTTAATTTTCTCCTATTTAAAATGCTCAGAAATAAACTATTGCAGGAATTGAAGTCTAAATTATTTGGAGAAAGATTATTGCTTTAAAAAATATTTTTCTAGTATTATACATTAAGAAACTTGGGACATATTTGCTTTTTTAAATGTATTAATATTTCTTTGAAAATAAAAGGAAGACTATCATCTGCTTCTTTGTTTGTTTTTAAGATGGAGTTTCACTCTTGTTGCCTGGGCTGGAGTGCAATGGCGTGATCTCAGCTTACTGCAACCTCCACCTCTCAGGTTCAAGCAGTTCTCCTGCCTCAGTCCCCCAAGTAGCTGGGATTACAGTCATGTGCTACCATGCCTGGCTAATTTTTTGTATTTTTAGTAGAGACAGGGTTTCACCATGTTGACCAGGCTGGTCTTGAACTGCTGCTGGCCTCAGGTGATCAGCCTACCTCAGCCTTCCAAAGTGCTGGGATTACAGGCGTGAGCCACCGAATACGTAAAAGTTGCTGGAGTCTGGAAAATATCAGTGGTCACTAATATGTTCTTTTGCAGAGCTAAATCAGAACTTAGGAAACTGACGGTATTAGGTTCATTACCACAGTCAAACAAGCTGAAATGATTGTTAGACGTGGATATTTTTATTTTCAAATTTTCTATCACCTTACATATAATTTATTGGGAAGTGACTTAAGAAAACACATAGAAGCATTACTCTAAAAATTCCATTCTTTTGAAACCATGTTGCTTGAGTATAGCATATGTAGATGCTAAAGATTTTTTGTTTCTTGAGATTCATGGCTTACATGTGGGAAAGAGAAAGTTGGTGTTTATAGTTTGACTTGGTTAATTCTTAATGTCCATATCACTCTTCTTTCATAATTTCTTCATAAAAAATGTAGCCACATACAGATTTCTGTTCACTTGCAACACAAAATAATGTGAGTTCCATTTCAAACTAAGCATCATCAAAAGTTTCTGAAAGTCTGGTTTATATTTTTTAAGTGCTATATGTGGATGACCTGCTTAGTTTTAATTTTTGGAGAAATACATTTTATAAAAAATTTTCATCAAATTGCTAAGATTGTGAGTAATGGTAATGATACCATGATTATATTCTGCTTAATTTAATACCTTTCCTATTTATAATATGTTTCTGTCTAAATATATATTTTTTAGTGTCATTACCTACTGAGTTTCTGTGAAAATAATTTGCTTTGCCTATTAAAAGAGTCCTTGAAGTTAATGTTTTTACTGTTTTTTTCTTTGACAGTTTTTTGAATTTTGTTTTTGAAGGTGTTAGCACTAGTTTCGAGAAGGTAAAGCACGGATATAGATGACTACTTAAAGCAAATGACCTTAGAAAATGCCCTTAAGGTTATTGTTTAACATATAGTTTAATATATATAGCTATTTGTATTTTAGAAGTGGGAAAGGATTGTTTTCCTGTAATCAAGTCCATCTTGTATTACTGAGTCTGGGAAACTATAATTAAACATTTGGGTATGTTCACTTAAAGTTTTCTTTTTAATTTAAAGCACTGTTTTTTTAAATTAACTTTTAGGTTAAGGGGTACATGTGCAGGTTTGTTACAAAGACAGACTCCTGTCATGGGAGTTTGTTGTACAGATTATTTTGTCATATGTTCAGTTTTGAATGATAGAAAAAGAAACCAATTATTGTTGACTAGAGTATTACTTGCAGCTATCGATTCACAGTTATAGGTTCCAAATTGTAAATTAAGAAACAATCTATATGAGAACTTATTTTTCATTTTAATATGTACTTCCTGTTACTAATTTCACCTTTTCAGGTTTTTTAGTTCTTGTATGGTTTGTTTGATAAAGCTGCTGCTCCTTTTTTTTTTTTAAAGCCTTGATACTAATGGTTTTATCATTTCATTTTTATGACACACATTTAGGCCTAAAAAGGCAAATATTATTTGAATGCTTGTCTCTCTTACATACTTTAAGCGTAAAGAAAAGAGGAATTCTGGATTTTTTTTTTTTTTTGTATTTTTCTCATCCCTTATCTCCCATGAATACATGACTTGATTTATCTTGATCAGCCTAGTAACTTGCTCCACATTTTTCCAAAAGTGCAAAGCAGTTTCAGCTAAAAATACACATATCAAAATGATCCAAAAGTTGTGGCCACAGCTCAAAAATGCTGATCAATTTTGAAAATCTAAATCAGCGTTGGCCCTGAAACCGAGGGAAGAACCTTTGTGGTGGGGGACAGATTTCCAAAAACTCACCACAGTCCTGTTCTTAGCTGGAGTTTGTGCTGATGTTGCCAGACAACTGAGGAATAGATGCAAAAAGCAGGAAGCATTATTGAATTGAACGCTAGTGCCAATTTGGGAAAAGCAAATTAAAATGTAAAAGAATATTTTTCCACTCCTGGCATCTCAACATAAAATGGCAAAATACATGGTTGCTGAAAAAGTTACAGAAATTGCTAATTTTGCCAAAAAGTAAAAGCCAATTGCAAATTCTTTTTTGCGTTAAAAATGCATAGACAGAAAGAATTTTAATTTGCAAATAAATATGTATACTTTTAAGTTGGAGAGTATTTTGACATAAATGACTGTGTGTGTGGGGGCTTGTTTCAATATCTTATATTTTTCAGGTGCCACTTGAAGAATGGATGATGATGATTTTGGTGGTTTTGAGGTATGCACTGTTATTTACATTAGTTTGTTTTAACTTTGTGGGATTACAATGGAGTAAACTATTTTGAAAATGTATTATATTTCATTGGCATTCATGATCTTTCCTTGATCATTTTAATGTAATTCTGGAGTAAAAAGATGAAATCCAGAAAAATTAAAAAAACTCTCTAAAAATTAAAACTGATGTTTTATTATAGAACATTTGGACTTGCCCATAGGAATGGTTTAAATTGAGGTAATTAAGTGCTACCAGTTTAAGCACTAAAGGAAAGATTTAAAAAATTGTCGTCAGATGATTTTACTGGGATACATGTCTATTAGGAAATACTTGTGAGATGATGGATGAGTACTAAAGATCTTGTCACGTATTTGCATGGTTATACCTGTAATGAGTTGATTTAGTATATTAAGTACATAGCCTTTTGGTGGTTATAAAGTTAATTAGTATGTTTGTATTGTTAGATTATTGTAGTAGGTTAGGAATGGATACTTTGTAAGTGGAAATAGTTAGCTGAAGAAACACTGTCTTTTCCTTAATCCTTTTCAGTGTGTGTTCATTTTATTGAAATATTTTATAACCCAGTTATTTTTATGGAGCCAGTATAGTCTTGCAGGAAAATCTCTGGATTAGGAGTCAGGAGGCCTGAGCTCAAGTCCTGGAACTACCATCAAGTGAATGCTGTGATTTTTTTTTTTTTTAAAAGAATTTTACCTACTTTGGATTTGGTAAAAAGGGAATTATAAAAACTAGGGAGTGTAATTAATGACCTTAATAGGATAAATAAGATGTTAAGTATATATTCAGTGTTGTGAATTTCATCAAAGAATGGTGTGAGGTTTTTGTTAGGATCTTCTTCTCTTTTGCTGATCTTTAAAATCAGTCAATATGGAGTACAGACATGCCTGTTTTCTCTGTTTCATCTAAAACTGGTTTTTGTTAAAGCACGCTTTGTATGCTTTCTGGATTTTGCTTAATGTTTTGGGTTTTGTTGAGTGATTGAATCTTATTTATGTTACTGAAATGTAACATTTATTTTTGTTAAAATGCCTTCCATTTTGAGGAAAATGTATGTTTCAGTTACCATCTGGCTTAGTTTATTGTTTGGAAGTTGTTATTTGAAGGTTACAGTCTGGCATAGTCTTCTTTATTTAAACCACACTTCATGTATTATTTAGGAAAAAAACACAGTGGATAGTGTTCTGTAGAGTAACAGTATTACACTTTGTTACATTCATCAGATTGATTCCTTTCAATACTGCATAGGTACAGGTTAACCAATATTACAATTTAATTGTAGTTATTAGGTTTTTTTTTTTTTTTCTTTCCACATCCTGCTGTATAAATAGGGAAGGTCTCTACCCTTGGTTATATAAAATATGTTCATTTTTCATAGTTGTAGAGAATAGCTACTGTATTCTGTGTCACTTAGCTCCTGTATCAGATTACCCCTTTTAACTTCTCATTAAGGCGTTGGCAACTCAATGGAGAATACAAACTGAAATTCTGGCTCTAATTTTTAGTAGAAAATTTGCTGTGACCTGGGCATCTGACAGAAAACTCTGTGCTCTTACCTACAAACTCAATATTCAGTAATTGTTACAAAATAGGACGGCTTGTTAATTGAAAACTTGAGGTTTAGGAATTCTCTAAATATTGAATGCTATTAATTCTAGGTAGTATATTATTCAAGACAGACGAATCTTATTTCTTTGAATTAATCTCTAATTGGGTCTTGTGCTAATTAATTAAAAGGATTTGGTGTCTATATATTTTTAAAGACAAATATTTTTTCTACACAGATGGTTAAATGTGGTAAGTTAAAATACTTAAATATAAAGTTTACAAGTGAAAATGTGATTAAGGATATATAAAATAAAAATTTTATTGACTAACAGTAGAGTTATTTGAATAAGGAAGGAAAATTTTTACTTGAAGATAATAAAGCATGGGTACTGAGGGTGGCGAGTCATGATAGGAGTGGTAGCAGTAAAGACCAAAAGGCAATAATTTAGAGGGAATATGAAAGTGTCTGGTGTATTATAGAAGACATGCCTGTAGAACTGGAATGCTTGATCACTTAAATAGCATTTCTGCTTTTCACATCTTCTAAAATAGTCTTACCTTTGTTTTATAGGCTGCGGAGACTTTTGATGGTGGAAATGGTGAAACTCAAACAACATCTCCTGCTATTCCTTGGGCCGCCTTTCCTACAGGTATTGGTATCCAGGAATTAGGTTGTTTTTTTTTCCCGTGTAACATTTTTGGCTATTCTTTGAAACCCTGTTTCTCACTTTTTTTACTTGTCCTTCTCTGATCTGAAAAATGGAGTGATCCAGATTTACTCTTTAGGTTTTTAAAATAACAAATTGTGAATTATGTAACACATTTTGTTGAGGCCTGATTCTAAAGATGATATCAGGAACATTAAATGAAGTTAAAATACAATTTACATTTTTCAATTTATCTTGGTTTTTGGAAGGTGAGGTGCCCAATAACATTTTTAGGTTGTCCAGTTCATTAAAGATTCCTTTTTATAGTCCAAAAATAATTTATCATCTGCAACATATTTAAATTTCGAAGTGTGTTTGCAATAAAATCACTTAAAAGTATTGAAAATTAAAATTGCCTTCTGAAAATTAAATACAAAAATCCATTATTGACAGATGTTTCTTGAAAGACCTCATGTTTAATATTAATTTATGTCAAAAGAGTATTTTGAGCTTTCAGAGTTTTCTATTAAATCTGTTAAAGTTATAAGATGAAAGTATTTTTCTTCAGCAGCTCTGCCTAGACCTCAAATGTTACAGTTGTTTATTGTAAAATATTAATCAAGTGCTTATTATGCATTAGGCACTATGGGGATATGGAGATGTATGGAATTTAGTCTAGTCCTTTACTTCAAGGGTAGATAATGTAGGCAATGGATATTTGCAATATGAAATAGATTTGTCATTTGGGAAGAATGATGATTTTATCATCCATTTATTTAGCAAATTCTTATTTTCATACCTGGTCTGAGTCAAGTACTAACCTGGCAGCTGGAAATATATATATATATACACACACACACACACACACTTATATAGTTGATCTGGTCTCTGAAGGGTGCATATAATTTCCATAGGCAGATATGGGAGAATGAGGAAAGATTTTGAAGGGAGAAAGATAAATGGAACAAAAGTGCAAATGAGAGAAAGGTGATGGCATTGTTAGGATGCTCATTCTTCTTTGAGGGCTGTGTGTTATTTCTTTTGCTGGGAATTGTCTTTATTGCTTCTCATTGTGTTCATTTCTACTCCCTTACGATACTAACTCCTGTGTTTTAAAAGTATTATTTCTTGCTTTAATTTTTTTTTCTGAATCACCTTCCCAGCAAACCTTCCGATGTCTACATGCACCTATTATCTAACTTTCATGTTGGACAGCAAGTTTTGTGGGTTAGCCACTATGTCTGTTTGTCCTGTTGTTATGTCTTAAATATGGGGCATAGTATCTGGCTTATAGTTGGTTCTCAATAAATATTTGTAGGATGAATAAAGAATAAAGGGAATAAGTGAATTAGCAACTGAATGAATGAACAGATTAGGATGGCATTGGAAATGGATAGGGAGAACTGGGATAGTAGATTATATTTATATAGTGGTTCAGGATTTTTAGTGTGCTGTCCTGCATTTGTTTATTGTAAAGTAGGCAGAGCAACTGTACTCTTTGCATTGTGTGGATGACAGAATGGTTTTAAAAAGTTTTATCATTTGATACACGTAACTGTGTTTAGGGATGGCGTGTGTTCTTTCAGATTCTATTTCAGTTCTTTTTCAGTAACTCAGGTTTTTTGGAAAGAGTTATCCACAGGACTGTGTGGATGTGACAGTGAAGGAGGAGTTAAAATTGATTTTTGAGGTTTCACGTCTTGATTCTGAAAGAATGGTGTTACCATGAACAGAAATAGAGAATTTGAGACTTGGTTTGGGACAGATGGGGCCTTAATGAATTAATGTTAGACATGTATAATATATTTAAGGGACCTGAAACTCAGAAGAAAGGTTCGGGCTGGAATTCTTGGTTTAGGAGTTTTCCCGTTGATAATGACACTTAAAGCTGTAGGAGATTGCTGGGAGGAGCAGTACATAGATAGAATAAGGTTCAGTAATTAATTTGGATGTTCAAAGGTGGGGAATAGGAGGAGGTAAAAGAGGTCTGAGAAGTAAGGGGATTTTGGGCTAGTGCTGCAACACAGAAACTAGAAGTAGAAAATTTCAAAGAAGCTATGGGCACCTCTCCAAAGGCATTAGAGAGGTCAATGAGATTGGAGGCTGAGAAAAAAAACAATAGATGGTCGTAAGTGGCTTTTGAGGAATGATTTCAGTAGATTGGAAGTTTAAGGCAAATTGTATTTCTTTACTTTTTATGAAAGCATAAACAGTCTCTTTTATTATAATAATAAGGTGGCAAAGTTCTAAAGAATTGTATATTATGAGCAAATTAACTGCTGTTCTCTAGGAGTGAACATTATATGTCACATCTGCACATGTCTGTATATTAGTGGGTAAAATACTCAAACCTTCGCGAAACTAGAATTAAAGGACAAGTCATCTTGCATACACACACACGCACACACTCACAACCACACACTCTTTTTTCCCTTACTCCCTTTGAAAAATTAGATCTGAAGAATTAACTCTTTCTGGATTTTCTCAGTGACTTGCAAAATGGAGAATAAGAAACATGGCTGAGGGCTGAAGTTAAAGACATGGTACATATTTGCTCAACCAAAGCTGTCTTTTTCCTTCGTTAGTTTGTCTTTCTCTGCCTGGAGAAGTCTGTCTCTGATTCAGGTAGTTGGAAGTTGTTTAGGTGAGTGTGATGTGAACAGCTTACTTAGCATAACAATGTAATCATTTCCACAGTAAAGACCTGAGAAGATAGGAACCCTTAAGAGATGTAAGGCAGATTCTTTTCAGTTTAAGAAAAGAGTAATTTTCTCCTTTTTTTCCCACCTACCTTTATCTTAGCTGTCTATAATCCATATGGAAAATATTTTAAAAAGAGATGATGATTAGCCAAGCTTTACCACAGCTTAAAATCCAAGAAGAGAACCAAGAAACATTTGGTTTACATTTTTAAAGTTTTTTGGGGAAAATAAAAGTCTTCATTCTTGGGATTAGGATAAAGGATTTTGTTAAATAAAGAGTGAGGTGGGTTTGGTGAGCCTAGTGATTCTACTGCTTCAGGACAGGCAAGTAGGTGGAGGAAGATTTTGTGATAGCAACTGGGATAATTAATGTATTTCTTAAAGTGTCTGTATAGCCTGCAGTTCTGTCAATAGGTTGTGGTACCTCAAGACATGCATCTTACTGTATATTAGCATTATTTACATAGTGAACTCTTAAAATGCTAGCTTATAGGCAATGTTGATGATGAAATTAATGAATTGTCAGTAAGAATAAATGAAATGTGCATGCTGATGCTTTGTACAAAGTATTATCTCTAGGCCTGTATCTCCTTAAGTTATAGTATCTAACTTGTAAAATGTGTCTTTACACCCTTGTTATCATAGAAATTGGGGAATGTAAATAAGAGATGAATGAATATGAAATTATCAAGCTCTTTTCCTATTTCGTTTACTCTCCGTAAACATGTAGAAATTACTACTTTATTTTAGTGAAAGCTATCCAAGGAGAATTGCCTTTCTTTAAGCATTTTCCTCTCTATTTCATAGCCTAACCCTCCACATTGCCTTCCATGCTATTCCGCTTGAAGCCTGTAAGCCAAACTGTGATCCACATAGTGTTCCCATGGTCTGTTCCTATATTTTTGTCATTGCTCCTGATTGTATTACTTACCTCATCTTCCATCCACTTAAACTTGAGTCTTACTTTTCTTTCAAGAAAACGTATGGAGCTATCACTGACTTTGTTCTGCATCTCATTAACTGCTGCTGCTTCTGAGTTTACCGTTCTTTTATTTCTGTACCCGTTGTTTGGTCCTTAGCATATGCTAATTTGTATTTTTAAAATTTGTGGTAAAACAAATATAAAATTTGCCATCTTAACTATTTTTAAGTATACAGTTCAGTATTGTACATGTAAAACTGAAAGTCTATCTACCAAACAACTCCCTATTGCCCTCTCCCCTCAGCCCCTGGCGACTACGATCCTATTTTCTATGAATTTGACTATTCTAGATACTTCATAAAGTAGAATCATACAGTATTTGTCATTTTGTAACAGGCTTATTTTACTTAGAATAATGTTCTCAAGGTTCACCCATGTGGTAGCATGTATCAGAATTTACTTCGTTTTTAAGCCTGAATAATATTCCATTTTGTTTCTCTGTTCATTTGTTGATGGACACTGGGTTGCTTCTGCCTTTGACTATTGTAAATAATGCTGCTATAAACATGGGTGTCTAATTTGTATTTTTAAAATATTTGATCAGTATGACTCCCATCTCTTTATGTCTATGTTAGTCTGAGATTTGGAGGGCAGTGACTGTGTTTTAAACCTGTTGAATCCTATATGTCTAGCATAGCACTGTGCCTTTTTAATAAACAATGTTTAGTAATTATTTCTTGCTGAGTAGAGCAGATTTACTTTGTTAACTCTTCTTATTTTTAATTCTTTGGGGATAATTAGTCTTTCTATCATAAGTTGAAAGAAGGCAAAACCAAACTTGCCTTCAAAAATATGTTAATCTCAGAAATCTTGGCTAATTACTCAAAGAAGCTTTTTTTTTTTTTTTGGTGCTCAATTAACTTTCCTCGTCATTCTCAATGCAAACATATGACCTGGAAATCTTGATTAATAAGAGCAGTCACAGATTTTCTGAAAGAAAGAAGAGCTGTTTTGGTGACCTTTTCTCATCTCTTACTTGGTCCTGCTGTATGCCAGTAGGTAACAATAGAGACTAGACTAAATATTAGTTTAATATATTACAGATCTAGAAGGAATAAGAGTAGTATATAGTTCTTTTGCGTTCTTTTTTTCTAACTTATTTTTCTAAACATTTTTTTCCAAAGAAAAATAATTTCCAACTTTGCAGAGCATCTAACATAAGAAAGTTTTTGAGTTGGCTACTCATAGCACTGTATTTTATTAAAAAATTAATAATTTTTTTGGCTAAGAAATCTTTTAAAAGAAATTATTCTCAAGTAACTGTCTTTTATAAATGTTCATAAGGGTAGTAATGCTCTACTTTTTAGTAAACTAATAAA